TATCTGAGAGGATTTTGCCTTTTAGATGTGCTTTGCATACTGTTGTGTTTAATGTTCTTAGTAGTTTGAAGTGTAACTATTGATTGTGGTCTGTGTCGTACTGAGAAGGGCTGTACAAATGCTTTGTAAAAAGTTACAGCATTGTAAAGTGTTCCTTTTGGTAAAAATAAATTTTATCAGTCTGTAATCGGTTCTGTGCGCATTCAATCTGTTATGAAACCTTTATGCATGTAATAATGCCAGGGTTGCCATGCTACCTGGTAAACCTGAACAACCAGGAAACATTGGGGAATTTGAAAATTACCTAGAAATGTCAGGGAAAAGTTGGGGATTTTAAATATTTTAGTCAAAATCTGGAAAAGTCAGGGAATTTCATGCGGCAATCCTCGATAAAAGTGATTTTTACGTCTACATTGAGAGTGATCTCTTTCTTTGCGAATTAGTATGTACTGCGTAAGCATCATTTGAGCAGCTGGCATAGAGCCAATTTTCGCAGCTCCAATCAGATTGTGTTTTAGAAAGGCAAAGTAACTTTCCAGCGACTTTGGTTTCCAGTAAGCTTGAGAATCGAAAGATTTGCATGCGCATATGAAGTGCATGTTGAATGAAAGAAAATAACTTCCCATTCTCGTATAAAGCAAAATCGGTTTAATCCTAGTATTGGTTATGATGAGCACTAAATGGGTCATTTTGATGTTGGTAACAATTTTCAAAATCATGCTACGGTCACACCATATATTAGGATTTTACCACAAAGTCTTTTAAACCTTTTTTTTTTTTTTTTAAATAAATGCTTTATTTGTCATTTTGCACTAAAATTCAAAAAATAGTAATCAGTCATGTAGGCTAACCATTTAAATATATTAAAGGTTGGTTAGCCTAGATAATTATATTCACCAAAATATTGTTGGTTATTGTAATTCAGTTTTTAATCTTTAAGTTATTAACTTTAATGTTGTTCGTATCATTTAATGTGGCTTCTTCCTTCAAATTTATTTATTATTAGTTAATAATATTTTCAAATTTCAATAAAGGCAGTAATTCAATAAAGTTCAGGTAATTTTATCTGTCATACTCCTGAAACTAATTCTAGCAGTATGATGACATACCATCACGAAATTTAATGCACATATTTTTTTGCTTATGTATACTGCTAAATAAATATAAAATACCTGAATTCATTTTAAAATATCATTAAACAGATTTCTTTCTTTCATTTAAATTCAAAATGTTTGCATAAAAAGACATTTTTTTAATCTAGATTAGGCAGATTTTAATCTCAGTCTTCAGTGGAGAAAAACTCCTGTTAGAGTTATAATAGTATTGCTTTGGAGATAATTCATGTATTATAGGCAAATTTTTGTGTTTTCAAGTGATACCATAATTAATTTGCCTCTCAGCACATCCAATGCACACTATGCGCATAGAATTAAAACACACCTAGAAAAATCTGGAAAAATCAGGGAATTTCAATCTGCTGTTTGAGTGGCAACTCTGTAATATGAAGTAGTTTCTTATGAAGTAATGAAGCACTTATGAGTTTAAAGGAATAATCTAACCCCCAAAAATGCTCAATGCTTTTTTTGTTTATTGCAGATTTCTTTCAATGTATGATTATTCAGTTGTTTCATGTATAATCATTCAGTTGTAGGTTATTTTCAATGTATAATCATTCATAGCTAAGTGTTTTTCAGTTCCTTTGCTTTTTCTGCTAGTACTTTCTCTTTTTAATTCTATAGATAGATATAATTTCTTATTCAGTTACATAATTCCATTATTCAACTTTTATTATTGCTATGTGAACAATTCTCACTAAAATGTCGATTTGAACTTTCTTCTCAGTAAACTCTCTGTCACTTTCTTCCTTATGGATAGTGATATTTTCTGGATTTAGAATGATACTACAGATTTCACCATCCATTAGTTGAATGATTATAATAACACTGTAATCAAAATTTCTGTTATTATCACCTTAATTTATTGTCACTTCTCCACATTTTTTTACATGTTCTATTTGTTGAAAAATTTCACTTTTTGTTTTGCAATATCCAAAAATATTCAAATTTGCAGCTATCATCATAAAACTTAACTAGCATCCATTGTACACTACTGGCAATGTACCATGAAATTGATGACTGAAAACATTTTTTGCTAAATTTTGTTTTGCTTCTGTTGTGTGCGGAGGAAGTTAAGCCTGAATTATGTTAGTTTAGTTATCTATTATACTTGTATTTATTTCCCACATATGCTAAAGCTTATCTGAATTCAGAATAGGTAAATTCCACATGACACCATGCCATTAGCACCACATGACTTCCTTGTATGGCCTATTAAATTATATACATTTTTTGCTGCACTTCATTTAAATTTATTTCTTCATATTTGATTAGAGATATATTTCTAATTAAATCAATTCAGTTCTCACATTGAGGCACCAAATATAGTTAAAAACAGTTAAAATAAATTTACAGTTAAAATTAGTGGAGTTTCTATACAAAGAAACAATTCGGCAGCTTGCAGGAAGACAAAATTTTTGGTGCAAAAAATTGAAAGTTAACTTCTGGCCCACTGGGCAAAACAATACTGAAGGTGGTACACCATCTGACTTAATTCACTATTCTTCTAAGTTTCATATGTAAGCAAATAATGGCTTTGTTAGACTCAGTATCATTTAAACAACTTTTAAATTGTTGATATTTTTACAACTATTGCATGCAGATTAATTTAAGGCATAAAAACCTTAACTGGAACATTGGAACAACATAATTCAATAACTTTTAAAGCAAAAAATGTTCAATTAAACAACATATAAGAATAAAAAAAAATGGCTTGCCGAGCTGAGTAATAGAGTGGCTATATATATACGTATATGTATGTTTGCTGCTTCAGACTGCAATGAAAACGTGAAGTGCACAACTGCATGTTATAGCAGTCCCATATGCAAAATTACAGTGTTCTATGGCTATTAATCTTTGAGTTATGTGAGATACATATGTACATACAGACGTCATGAAAAAAAATCTCTTCTGGACCCATTTTTAAATTCATTTTACAATATATTTTGTGAAACACAGTCTTTGATTCTCTCTGCATGTACAGATGTTACTCAAAAGCATCTTTCAAATAGATGCAAGAGTTATCAAAATGGATATTGAAGTATAATATCCAAAATTTTTTGTGATTACAATACTTCCTTTACTTTGTAGAAGGTAATTAAAAAAAAAGGAATTAAAGTTTGAAAAGCGCTTAATATTCTATTAGAAAAAATATTGAATGTACATTTCAAAGTTTGAAAGTTGTTTGTACATCAGATTGTCATTCAGTTCTGAGTTTAGAACGAGCAAAAAGAATTATTTATGTTCGTGAAAAATTACATTTGTTTATGGCAGTCCATAAGATTTATTATTATTATTATTTCTGTTCATAAAATTCATTACTTTTAAAATTATATAAATATATAGTTTCAGCTTTTCAAAAATGCAGTTATTGCACTTGAATAAGTATGAAGTCTTAACATCCTGATCCTAATGACATGAAGTTTTGCCACCTGTGTTGCATAGTCTCATCCACTGGAAAAGTGTTAACTTAATATTATTTAAAAAGGCTTCAGTATTGATGTAGTTATACAGGATAGTAATTTCTGTATAGCATTTGCATTTTATTTTATGATTTCTTTATCTGTTGTTCAGTATACATTATATCAAAGTAAAAACATGTACACCTTTCAAAAAAAAAAAAAAAAAAAAAAAATGGCAGTTTTATATCTTTCGATCTACTGGGCCAATTGATGAAATTTAACTTGCGTTTTGCATGTAGGATATAGTATAATTGGATTTATTACATTGTTCTGACATTGCTATTTTGCCACAAAATGGGGCATTTTATGAAATGGCATGTTGATGTTTTTCCCATTTTTCAATTCTGTGACTAAAATTATGTCTAAATATAATTTATTTTTCAAAATTTGGTGAGAAACTTACCAAGAAATTAAAAAAATTATTTTGGCATGCTTTTTTCTGTTTGCGCCAAGAATAATTTCCCTTGGCGAAATTCTTAATTTATAGCAACCTGTTTTTCTTTCCCTTTTTTCACTGTGTATGCATGTGCTAAAGGTGCATCATTCATACTTTCAAATAATTTTAAGGGTTCATAAAGCACATTTGGCATTGTTATTGCTTATAACAAACATACCAAATTTCAGAACATGCCAGTATGTAAACTCATATATACCTTAGGAAATTCTGAATAAAAAGATCTAATTTTTTTCAGATGTGCTTAGAAATACATCTACTTTAAGGTGATGGTAAAAATTTGCTAGGTTGTAATTAAAAATGTTTTCGAAAAATTACTAAAAAATAAAAATTAAAAAAATGTATATATATCTGTGAATTTTATTTGGATTGAACCTAAATTTCGAATTGTTCAAAAAGAATCAAGTAAGCTTAATTAAAAAAAAAAGAGATATTAATAAATACATGCCAAATTCAGTTAACATTAAAGAGCTAACATTTTGAGCTAGTTTTTTAAAAACTATTTATGCGATTTTTCCAAAACTTGGCACCTTGGCATAATTTGAGTTATAGAATGGAAATAAGGGAAAAAAAAAAATCGTTATGTTATTTCAGAAAAAGTTCGATTTTGTGTCATAATACCTATGTTAGAATGCTATGTGTAACATTAATAGAATTCCCAAGCCAGGCTAATATAATGCCTAAGAGAAATTAAAGTTCGTCAATCGGCCCAGTAGAACGGTAGATATAGAAGTGACCCATTTTTGTTCTCCTGCAAGATGTACATACAGTATGATTAAGTACCTATTATGTTTTATCTGAGGGGATCATTAGCTCGCAAAAGTAAATTTCTTTTCAGTAAACCATTAAATGTTATTTTATAACTATGCTTATTTGTGATAATGTATAATTATGCTTATAAAAATAACATTCTCCAAAAGTATTAATTTTACTTTATTTGTGTTAACGTATGTATTTTTGTGTTTACAGGACTGGTAGTAAAAAGAAAGGTATGACTGTTGATCAGTTAGTAGATTTTTTAAACAAAGAACAAAGGGATCCCCGTTTGAATGAAATTCTTTATCCATATGCTGATCCTGCCAAAGGAAGGGACATAATCAAGCAGTATGAGCCTCACAAGAGCTATGCTCAAAAAGGTTATTTACTTTTGATTATTTCAAGTGAAGGACATAAAAAATGTATTCCAAGATATAAATTCAGAATGATAGCAGATATTATCCTCTAGAAATGGTTCAAATTTAATTGTTTAAATCTAAAAATCATTGATTTTAAAATTAAATTGTATATTCTGACATAGCTTGTAGTAGGTCTAAATGATAGAAGAGCTTTACCTTTTATTATATTTGTTGCTTTCTGTGGAATAGAAAAAAAAGGTTTTGATGGTATATATTATTCAGCTAAATGTTAGCATCACGATAGTCAAGCATGACTTGTTTAAAATGATTACATGCAAGCTTGTTTGGTGTTCAGAGGTCTGGATATTCAATGTCCTTCAATAAATATGGTCATGTTCAAAATTAATTCCATCTGTTGTTATAGAACAGTCAATTAAAAAATGTCTAGGTGTTAAAAAGAGAGTGGTGAAACTGGTCTGGAGTCTAATATTCCCTCTATTTGGGTTACTAAAGTTAAAAATTCTTCCATAGCTAATTTTGAATTTCTAACCGTTTTTTTTTTTTTTTTTTTTTTTTTTAACCGTTTGACTGCTACGCGGCACAAAAGGGCTGCGTTTATTTGTCTCGAAAACCACAATGCAGTTAGTTATTTTAGAATGCACTTGTGTTACAAAGTACGCATGAGGTCAGACTACGTACGTTCACGCCCACAGAGCAACAAAGACACATTGAAACTCGCAGCGCATATCGCGGTTTTCAAGACAAATGAACGCAGTGCTTTTGTGCCGCAAAGCAGTCAAACGGTTAAGATGTGTTTTGAAGGATATAACCTCCTGCTTCCTAAATCCCACCAAAATGTGGTGCCCTAGGGGGTATAAATTTCCACTCAATCTCCTCTGACAACAAATAGTCAGTTAACCCTTGTTCCGGTACTTTGGCTAATTAAACATTTTGGCTAAATTTTTTTAATTCATTTCAAGCTCCACAAAAAGTTTGTAGCATTATTGCTAATATGGCTGAGCTTTTTCCTCTCTTCGCAAAAAAATCTCTTTAAAGCAGCAATTAATGCCCTAATTCTTTAATTTTTTGCCTTTATAAGAAATGGACCACAAAAATGGAGCCCACACTTGTTAAAGATCGATTCAACTGACACTCGTTCAACAGGTAAATCATCCATTATCTGATCTATTGGTACAGGTCCATGTTTATAACACTGCACACATTCATGTACTATTTTTCTAGCAAGATTCCTGCCACTGATGGGCCAAAATTTTTGTCTAACAGTACTCATAGGGCTTCTGGTCCAAAATGCAATATTTCAGATGATAATAGTATATGATCAAATAAGTCAATCTATGTCTAGCTGGCAAAATGATTGGATATTTACAATTATAACTTACCTGAGATTGTGTAAGTCTGCTACTAGCACATAAGATTCCATCATTATTAATGAATATTTAAGCTTTGTTTCTATGAGATACCTGGCCACCCCTTTCAAGAGACTCAGTATCAGAATAAAACTCACCTTTCTGCATTTCCCTAATCAATGTTAGCTCAGCTCCTTTTGTCTAAGGATATAGGCCTTGAAACCCTTTCCTTATTCCTAATGATTCTGGAGAATCTAAAAATAAAACTACAAATTTTGATTAACTTCATATAATTATTTATCTGTTTTAAGAGAAAGGCTAAACTAGAATTATTTTCTAATATTGCAAAATTAGAGTCTGATAAAAATGTTAGTTCTTTGTCATAGTCATTATCAGTGCTAGGTTCAAGAGGCTGTTCTGGATAATGCATGTCCTCATGAAGAAGGCCTGGTCCATTCCACCAGATATCACATGTAAGAAATGTCTTTGGCATCCAGCCTATGCAATATGACATCAGCTGAGTTACATTCAGAAATTGATAAGGTTTTTATAGGTGCAACTTGTGATTTGCTACACAAAAGTCGAGCAGTTGGTAACCCCAAAATTGCTTAAGGTTGAACATAGACTACAGCTCTGTATGCTGAAGAGGATGCATCTGCAAATCCATGGAGCACTGTGTGATCTTCCTGGAACACAAATCTAGGAATCTTAAGATTACTTAGTTCTGGGAGTGTGAATATGAAATCAATCCACTCCATAGAATCCGGCAATGTGTCATTATAATTGAGTTTAGCAAGGCAGAGCCTTTGCATAAATACTTTAGCTTTTGTGACCATTGGCCCAATTAAGCCAAGTGGATCGAGCATCATCAAAATTAGTGAGAGAATATCTCGTTTACTATAACTGTTAGAATGGCCATTGTAAACTACCAGTCAATCCAGAGGATTCCATAGAACACCAAAATTTTTTACCAATGAAGATTTTTGTTGCTTATCAAAAATGTATTCTGAATGAGTGGTAACCTTATTTTCAGACACAAGCAGATCTGGTTGATTTGCACGGCATTTATGCAATTCCATTGTACCTAATTTCAACAAATCTATTAATTAGGACTTAAGAATTCTAGTCTTTTCAAGTGATGATTCTCTGGAAAGTATATCATCGACATAGAAGTCTAAGACCGACGGACGATGCTTCAGGTCAGTTTTGGCTTTCATCTCTAGCTAACTGCTTAAGAGCTCGAATTGCTAGACAGGGAGCGTTTGACATTCTGTACATTATGGTGTTGAGCTTATAAGTGTGCACTGATGCATCAATACTGTGCTTCCATAGAATTTTGAACAAGTTCTCTTTGTGGTGGATGGATTAGAATCTGGCAATACATTTTTTGTATGTGAAGGGGTTGGGGTGTTTTCTAAATCTAACCATTGTAGAAAATAATTCCTGCTGTGGAATTCTTCCTTTCAACAAAATATCGTTTAATGACAATTCTGATGTCATAGCAATCCAGGCGTTAAAAACCATTCTTAAACATTTACTACTTTTGTCTGGTCTGTAAATCCTATGATGAGGCAAATAGAAGGAATCATTTATGGATTCTGATTCCTCAACTAATTCCATATGCTTTAAATACTTGTATTCTTGCATGAATTCCCAGTACAGTCGTTGTACGTTTGAGTCCTGACCCAATGGCTGACAAACCTGATTAAGTCTTTTTTTCTGCTAAATTTCTAGATGTTTCCATCAAATTAGAAGCCCATGCATACCACGTATTGACATTCAGAGGTTCAGTAACAATTCTCATTAAAATGTTTTTCGCAATATATCTCTTCAGTCTAAGTGCCGAATCTGGAAAATTAATATTTTTCTGCCTCCAGAATTTTTGCAATGTTTTTTCGTTTTACATAAGCAGACCACAGAGTTGTGATTCACGTGGTGAATTATTTACCGATTTTAATAAGAAACATTTCGCACCCAGTAATAAATCGATTTTCTCAGGTGTGTTAAATCTGTAATCAGCTAAGGAAATTTCCTTGGGGATGTCAATATTTTTAATGTGTATGGTTTAAGGGGAATCATTTCTTTGATTTTGGAACCAATAAAGAAATCAAGTTCTGTAGAGAACGTTTTCCCCCTTGTTGGCAACTGAAGTCCTCAATTTATAATTTAAAGTAATATCAGTTCCATTTATTCCCGGCATTTTAGCAAAAACCTTTGTTTTTTTTAATCTTTAATTGTTTCGCAAAATGAGTTGACACACAATTAATCTGTGAGCAGCTGTCAAGGAGAGCCTTTCCTTTGATGAATGTCCCTTTCGAAGTTTTTATCATAATAATCGCAGATAGCAAGATAACACTTTTATTTTTAGCTAATGAACAATTAGAAAGTCACCTTTCCATTAGGTACCAGAGGAATATCCTTCCTGTCAGCTGTCTTCTGCCCTATTGTCTGCGGATGTTTGTTTGAAACAGAATTCAAAATCGATGGCTCATCCTTATGAAGGCATGTGTGGTAATGACAAATATTACAAAAATAATTCAATCTACATTGTGAAGCAACGTGCTTTTTTCCCAAACAATTCAGACATAAGTTATTTCGTTTTACTAGTGTAAATCTTTCAACAAAATTCATATTCATATCAAGGAATTTACTACATTAAAAAGAGAATGTGGGGATTTACATATTGCATGATTTCTTTCTGAGTTATTTGAATGAACAAGAAGTGTTTTTGTTTTTATTTCATTCATTTGTTTTGATTTTACTGCATTTTTTTTTTTTTCTTTTTTTTTCCCAAAGTTGTCTTCTTTTCTTTAAGAATGTTATCAATTTATCGAAATTAGGAGCATCTGACACATTTACAGATTATTCAAATTGTTTTCGAGTTTCTTTGTCTATATTTTCTAAAATGTTAGTAGTAATTAAAATATCAGAGAATTTATTTCATTCGAAAACCAAATTATTTAGAGTTTTGATGTTTTTATTCACAGCATCTACTAGATGTCATAATTCTTTTGATGACTCATGAATAATTTTTTCGAATTCTAAGATGGCTTTAATGCGAATATTAACAAGAACTCTCTTGTTTTCAAAGCGATTTTCTAAGGCCCTAAATAATGATTCAAAAGTGTCTTCCTGAGTTTGTAATAATTTTGCTCCTCCTTTAAGGGCAGCATGCAGATAATACAGCTTTTGTACATCTGTTAATTGTGTATTCGAGGCAACAGTATTATCAAATTCAATTTTAAATATGTTCCACTCTTCGTAACTTCCACTAAATTGAGGAAGTGAAATTTCAGGTATTTTTATTTTACAATTACTCTTTGTGATATCAACTTTAGTAACACTAACAACATTACTGACTAACATTTAATTGAAACATATCTCTAGATTGTCAATTCTTGCTTCTAGATCTAATAATTCCTCTTCTATTTCAGAATATTGCCCTTTTTGCAAGTTTCTTACAGCTCTGAGTCTGTTTTGAATAGTCCCAAATCTCATGCCAAATTATTCAACTCATGCTGGTCAAATTCCTTTCAAATGGAATCATCTTCAATTTCCAAATCTTCATCACTTGGGTCAATTCAATATTTACCAGAAACATTTTCCAGTATTTAAGAAGAGGGTAATTCTTTGAAAACTGGCACTGAAAGTGAGGTACTGGGCACAGCTGATGGAAAACTAGGATATTCTATTTTACTTTTGTTTTCCATGGTATATCCTGACATTTTTCATTATATGAATGCAAAAATTACTTAAATGATCTTTGGGCTCTTGCCAAATGGAAAATTAGATACCTGTTCCCTTTATTCACATCTGTAAACTCTGACTACACTGCTTGCACACTTTATGAGGGGTGCATGATTTATCTTGATCACCAATTTTCACTTTAAATAGGCAAAGTAGGCTTGCTTGATAAATGTACTGATGTTTATCCTTTGACTGAGAATGGTAAAGTTGCCACATATATGGCAAAATGAATGGGGCTTGTTTAAGCATTTACAACATGAATTACAGAGGCAGATATAAGGAAGAGTTTCAGTTCATGTAAATAAAAATTAAACACTGTATACAAACAAGAACTTGGATACCATGTTGGAATGCACTTCATTATATCAGTGCAATACAGAATGTCTCGCTACAGTATCTCGGGCATAACTGAACTAATACACCTAAGTATGCACCTCTCACTGTTAGTGTTTTTTATGATTCATGCTTGATGTCATGGAGAGTGATCACATTCACATAAGGTGTACAGGAAAAAAAAAAAAAAAAAAAAAAAAAAAAAAACTTGACATTGTAACTGTAGTTAGAAGAAAACTAACTACAGTTTTGAAATCAGCATGCCTGTTTAAAACAGCTAAGAAGTTGAACTCGAGAAATTTTGTTACAAATTGTTCGGTTATCTTTAACCATGTTTAAATATGCATTTGTTTGATATTAAATGTAATAGTTGTTTTATCATTTATATAGGTTAATTATCTGTGGATGAATTTCCGCATTAAAATATAACAGATGTTTATATTTATGTAGGTTTATTATCTGTGGATGGGTTTCTTCGTTATCTGATGAGTGAAGAAAATGTCATTGTAGCTCCTGAAAAATTTGACCTAAATCTTGATATGGACCAACCTTTAAGCCATTATTTCATCAATTCATCTCATAATACTTATCTCACAGGTAAGATTTAAAAATAAATTAACAAACTTCTTGCCAGTTTAATTACCTTTCTGCCATCTAAGTTATTCTTAATAGATATTTGCTTCATATGTAATAGATATTTTGTATTAAAGCTTTATCATAAAGCTTTAATACTCCTAGAAGAAATTTATCATGAAGAAAATTTATAGATTAATAATTAAAAAATTTTATATTTTGTGTTGCACTGCAGAATTGTGTCCTGAGAAAGGGGATTTCGCTTCCATGATGTAATTCAGTTCTATCTAAAATCTATCAAGTGTACATCGGATATTGTAAATATTATTTTTGGTTAAGTTGATAAGCATTGGGGTTATTATTTTTCCATATCACATATTTTGATATAAATTAGATTTACTGGAATAGGTACTTACCATGTTAAAAAACTGCAGAAGTTTCTTTCTGAGTTACATAAAGTACTCATGTACAGAATGTGATTAGAGAAGAGAAAAGCTTAAAATGCAGAAATATTTATTGATTGATGTATAAAATTTCAAAGCTATACCAAAGCTGGTTTCTAATCTCAGCATGTCCATTCTGGTAACAGTAATTTAATGTGCTGGTTTATTAATAAGTGCTTTGAAAATGTTTTAAAGTTGATAATTGGAAAGCATTAATTTAGTGAAAAAGTTTGGTTTATAGTTGTTATTTCAATAATAATTGCAATTAATTTTTGTGCATGTGCCCCTCAGGGGCTCACTTTTGTAAGTACGGGTGTGCAATCCCGAGGTACCCTAGCCCTTCAGGGAATCATATTCTTGGTGAGACGGGTGTCATGATCCTGGAGCCCCAGTGATCTATCCTCTTCTCCGTCTCTTCTTCTCTTTCTTCGAAGGTTGGGGCTTGTCACGAGAAACTGAAACAGCCCTTGTCTCTAGTTTTCAAGTTGCAAGAAAACTGCCTACGTATTTGTCGTTTGTGGAGACACGTGTCGTTAGAAAGGAGGGTCCTGGTAGTTAAGGGGCGAGGTACTATTCTCAACACATTGCTTTGGTCTCTGCTTTAGTTAAACGGAAGGCACCTTAGTTGTCCTAACGGGTGTCAATCGGCTGGTCACTAGTCCTTCTGTCAGTGGCTTGGGGATAAGCTCTCGGGAGTACCGCTTTCGGAAAAGCCGACTGTGGGGTTTCAATTTGTGTATAGTTCTGGCTAGCCCTGGTACAGGATTCTGTGTTCCCTTGTTGGGCTCCATGGTGGGCGGGGCCATTGGACCTGAATCTTTTCTCTTTCAAATATGGCTAATTCTCACATATTGTTAATCAAAGACTTTGAAGTCAGTCCCATCACTTCAAGCACCAATTCTGAAAAACCTACTGCTAAAAAAGTATGTACCAATGCAAATGCAAATGATTTTAACAAATGTCCCAATTTCGTTGTAGTCTTAAGTCCTTCTGGCAAAATTCAGAAGTTATCTCCATTTGTAAATAACAAGTATATTCATTCCTCCATTGGTGAGCCAAGAAACATAAAGTGTCTCTGATCTGGAGATTTACTTATCGAAACAATTTCGACTATACAGTGTGTGTCTCTTCTACGATTAACCAAGCTAGGGCAAATCGATAAAACTGTATCAGCATATAAAACAACATTTGTAGAAGCATAATCTCGGAAGTTGACCTTCTGTCTGTTTCTGAAGAAGAGTTCGTTCCCAAGCTAGCCGATCAAAATGTCAGTGCTGCCAGGCGGATGAAGATGCATAAGGAAGGTGAGTTGATTGACACGAAAATTGACTGAATACCTCAATTGTTGTGTACAAGCATACATTCCAAACCCTATGCAATGCTTCCAAAGCCAGAGTTACGGCCATTCCAAGATGTCTTGTCATGGCAACCTGGCGTGTGCTTGGTGCTCGTCAGTTGGTCATGATAGTGATAATTGCACTGCTGCCGCATTGTGTATAAATTGCAAAGGTGACCATCCAGCATTTTCTCATTCCTGTCCAAAATGGAAATCAGAAAAGGAAGTCCAGATCATAAAGTTTCTAGGAACATTTCATATGCCGAAGCCAGAAGACTAGTTCAAAGACCAAATGCATCTTATGCGAAGCCAGAAGACCAAATGCATCTTATGCAAATGCTCTTAAATTAACTCGTTCAGTTGCTACCCAAACTATAGTAAGTACGCAGACTCCACCAAATAAAGACCAGCAGATTCCAAACAGAAAGAAAAAGGAAAATCCAACTCATGTAGTACAAAATAAAGAAATAGTAATGCCGAGCAAACTAAGAAATGTCCCTCCAAAAGTTGTTAATAAAAATAGAAGCCCTAGCATAGCTCAGTTGATGACAGAATCTCTGAAACTTTAGATTCAGATAGTGTGGAAGTAGAGGAGGGGCTGGAAATTCCCAAACATCTGCTTCCACGCAAATCTAAAAAGCAACACAGGAAAAACAAACAGCAAACATAATGACCACCCTCATCTCATGGAACTGTCGTGGCGTTAACCAAAACCTGATGGACGCCAAAGACTTGATTAATGCTCATCATCTTCTATGCTTGGCAGTGTAAGAAACAAATCTGAAACCGGGACAACGGGCAAAACTTCAGAGGTTTTCTTTCATCGTAATGACATCCCTCCAAGTTGTTGCTGTACAAGTAAATATTCATATCATGATCTCAGTGATTTTTGTTTATTTGCCTCCAAGTGAGCGCATTGATCAGCAATATTTAAATTATCTTGTGGTGCAGTAGCCCAAGCCTTTTATCATACTGGGAGATTTTAACGGCCATAGTCCGCTGTAGGAAAGCAAGGACACCCATTCATGAGGAAGACAAATAGAGTAGATGATTGAAGATCATTTTCTCTGTATCCCAAATGATGGGCAAGACACATACTTCCATGAACCCACAAAGATATTTCATGCTGTTAATCTAGCTATCTGTTCACCATCTGTATTGCCATTTTGCAATTTTAGTGTTGGAAGTGATCTTTACAACAACGATCATTATCCCATTGTTGTATCTCTTGCACGAAGAGGAGCAAACCCCATGTCGAGATACCTCGATTTATAATCGATAGAGCAGACTGGGAACTCTTTCTTACTCTGCAGAGCTCACAGAGAAAATGGTATAAGCTGTGCTTATCAATGATGCAGTGGAAGCAGTTACAACTGCTATTACTCAGGCAGCTATGCTCTCCAGCCCTAGCAAATCAGGAAAAATATCAAAGTATTCAAAACCATGCCGGAATCGTGGCTGTCATGAAGCACTGAAAAAACAGAAAAATGATGGGGAAATTTTTCGTAGATATCCTACTTTGTGAAACCTTATGGCATTTAAAAGAGCCAAAGCAAATGCAAAGTAAGAAGGCAGAACCAGAGGGATTCCTGGATTTCATATGTGCCATCAGTAACATCCTCTACACCTAGTAAGCGAGTTTGGGAAAGAGTAAAAAAATGCATGTGGAATATATAAGGACCACTCACTTTCCATTTTGGAAAAAGATGGCGAAGTGATTAGCTCCATAGGAGAACTTGCGAATACTATTGGAAAGACATTTGCTGCCGTTTCTTCCAGCAGAAATTATTCACCTGCATTTCTCTCTTTCAAGCATCGCTCTGTAAGAAATCCCATCGCATTCAACTCTTCCAAATTTGAGCCTTATAATAGAGACTTTACTATGCTTGAATTAAGGAGAGCTTTGTTGCAGACACATATGTCTTCTGCGGGTGTTGACAGCATGAATTACGAAATGCTGAAGCATCTGTCCTATAAGTCACTGACCGCCCTTCTCATTCTTTACAATAGTGTGGAAGCAGCATACTTTTCCCAGTACATGAAGGAGAGCTGTTGTAATTCCTATTGCTAAGCCAGGGAAAGATCAAAGGAATCCCTCCAACTATCGGCCACTTGGCCCTTACGAGTTGTGTATGCAAGCTGTTTGAAAAAATGGTAAACAGCTGCCTAGTCTACTTCTTGGGAAAGAATAATATTATATCACACTATCAAAGCGGTTTTCAAAAGGGGAAAACAACCGTAGATAACATGCTCCTTTTAGAGACATCCATTCGAAAAGCTTTTGTAAGAAGAAGTCACCTTGTCTCAGTATTCTTTGATATTGAGAAAGCTTATGATAAGGCTTGGAGATACAGTATATTTCGGGATCTACATGATAGTGGCTTGTGTGGCAACCTACCAATTTTTGTTCAGAATTTCTTGAACACTAGAGTTTTCCAAATAAAGTTTGGCTCTGTTTTGTGAGATGTTTTTGAACAGGAAGAGGGTGTCCTCAAGGCTGTGTGCTTAGTGTAACCTTGTTCAGCTTTAAAATAAATTCTGTATTGAAAGAACTTTCTCCACCATCTTGGGATCTCTATATGTTTGATGACCCACAGATTAGCTGTCGTGGGGCAGAAAATGAAATGCGTAGAGAGGCAATTGCAGATGGCTCTGAATAAGATCCAGGAATGGTCAGACAAACAGAGATTTACATTTTCGAAACAGAAAACTTTGTGCATACACTTTTGTAGGAAGCAAAGTCTCCATTCTGAGCCTGCATTATATCTGAATGGTACAATTATTCCTGTTGCACCTGAAGTAAAATTTTTAGGAGTGACGTTTGATCGAAAATTGACTTTTCTTTCTCATGTTTTAAGCCTGAGAAAAAAGTGTTTAAAAACATGAATATTTAAAAAATCTTGGCGAACACTTTCTGGGATGCTGAGCATTGCTCTATGCTTTGCATTTACAGAGTGCTTGTCCTCGCTATAGACTGGACCATGGCTCAGTTGTTTATGGATCCGCTCGGTCATCAGTGTTGTTAAAACTACAGCCTGTTCACCATCAAGCTCTGCGGATTTGTTCTGGAGCTTTCAGTACATCTCCTGTCCAGAGCTTTTATGTTGACTCTAACAAACCATCATTTTATCTGAGGCGTGAGCAGTCATTCCTTTTGCAATATTTTAATATTTTATTGCAACCTGAACATCCTAATAAGCTGTGCTTACTTGATAATGTGTGCAACACTTTATTTGAAACACGTT